TTAGTATTACTCATTAGTATGTTTTGAAGATTGTTTACCTTCCAAATATTTAAAACAATGGCTTCTTTTTGTATACTTTATAACAATTTTTTCCAAGCTAAAGATAACTGAAGCACTTCGCACATTTGTTTTGAATATAGAACATCTGTACGGGAAACAGTACATGAAATTTAATGTTCATATCTTACTACACATTCCTCAAGCTATACGAAGTTTTGGTACTCTTTGGGTGGTCAATCTTTGGGCGTGGAATGTACTCAGTACATTTCTAAACAAATTTGTAAGTTCTAACAAGGCTCTCTTTTACAAAATCATCATCTGAAATTTTTCCAGAGCAGATTTTAGCAAGAGGAGGGAAAAATTATTTCGTTCTTTGATGAAAGAGTGTGAAATTAAAAAATATATATGTTATGACGATTTTTTAAGAGTATTTGGTGTTTCTAAACATGTAAAATTAATTCTAACTGAAAAAGTTGTTATACAAGAAGCTCTTGCAAAAACGGTTTACACATCCAATGATAATAGAGTTATGAAAAGAAATAATAGCACAATTGAAACAAACGATGGACGTTTTATGATTTTATCTGATCTCCTATTAGTAAAAGTCACTGAAAATCAAGAACAAAAATATATTCTTCTCGGAAAAGAATTACAAAAAATAGATAAAATATTGAGTAGTGAGAGGGATGTTTCTACCAGTGATTTTTCTTGTATTGTAAAAGAAACTAATAACATTATTTCCTGTGCTCTTTCTTCAATAAAAAATAAATGTGTAAACGTTAAGTGCAATGAAACTGAAATTAACATTGTACAACTTGTTAATCACATTGAAACGGATTAAGAAAAGCTAAATGAATCAAAAGATCTAAGAGTTAGAATATATGTCTTCGAAACTCTCATATCTTTATATACAATTTTGTCTTATTTATTTGCAAATAAAGTAATCTTTTTTAACTATACTAATCTATTTTATTTTTATAATATAAAAAAATTAAATATATTGCTGATAACTACTGATTTTCTGACAATTTTTTTATTATTATACAGCGCGCATTTAGTACTGGATTTCCAATATTCAAACCAGTACTTATTCCAATACTTACCCCTATACTCATTCTAATACTCATTCCAATACTTTCTTTCATAAGAGCTTATCAAAATTAAATTGTTTGTTATTTGTATATTTGTGTAATAAATAGTTTATTGTGCACCAAGTACCGAAAGAAGCTGTTTTCCGACAAGTGCAAAAAAATTTGCACGAAGTCGGAAAATGTTCTTTCGTACTGGATGCACACAGTACTTTGTGCAACACCAATTTAGAAAATATGCTTTTTTATTAAGGGAATAACAAGCTACAATTAATGTTTATATTTATAATTAAAAATATTGATTAAATTCATAAAAATATGAAATGCAACAAATTCCGTTTCGCTTACAATTAGTTAACACAATTTACTATAAAGGACCCCGCAGGATTTACATTAGTTTTGGCTCTCAGTCGATTTTTGTGTAACTTTAGGATTTTATAGTTTTTTGCATTCTGAACAACTTTTTCCTTTGCCAAATTGCTAGATATGGAGCTGGTTTTAAAATACAAGCTATTGAAACCCTTAAAATCGTTAAACTCCCCAGTAAAAAATAAAAGATACAAGAACGGCGGATTGCGGTTACAAGCTCAATAGCTGGTAAACGAATCCATGAGAATCTCGGATACAAGCACTTTTCGGTATCCGAAATGATCATAAGCTTGTAAACGCACTGAAACGGACGACTTTTGTAGGTCTTTTAATCAAGAAAAAACAATTAAATGGATGCAGAAACGATGGAAAATTAAATTAGAAGCAAAAATAAATAATTATTTTTTAAAGAAACGTACATTTAAACAAAAAACAATTATTCTTACTAATTCTAACCTCTGCATTAAAAACATTGTAAAAACAGTGTTTTGTTGGTAATTTTACCTTACCGATATTGGATATTAATTTAACGTGGGTTTTTCGATTTTCCAATTTCAGAAGCAATTCATAATAATCAAAATATTATTAAACATAAAACGGTGCTCATTTTTAATTTCCTTTCCCACTTTTAATTAAATCATTTTAAATTGCATTAAAATAGAGAATTCAAAAAAAAACCCTCGTTAAATTAATATTCAACGTTGGTAAGGAAAAAAACCATATTTTCCGAATTGCAGCAACATAAAATTACCAACAAAACACTGATTTTACAATGTTTTTAATGCAGAGGTTAGAATTAATAAGAATAATTGTTTTTTGTTTAAATGTACGTTTCTTTAAAAAATAATTATTTATTTTTGCTTCTAATTTAATTTTCCATCGTTTCTGCATCCATTTAATTGTTTTTTCTTGATTAAAAGACCTACAAAAGTCGTCCGTTTCATTGCGTTTACAAGCTTATGATCATTTCGGATACCGAAAAGTGCTTGTATCCGAGATTCTCATGGATTCGTTTACCAGCTATTGAGCTTGTAACCGCAATCCGACGTTCTTGTATCTTATTTTTTACTGGGTCGGTAACTACCGGAGTTTCAGATTTGAACAGTTTAAAAAGTATTGAATATTGTTTTAAAAAAAGAAAATTACATTTTTATGCATTCAAAAGTGCTTTTGATACTTCCTAGAGATGAACGGTAACAACGCATTTGGGGTTGCCACCCTTACGTCCAACAAACAACCCCTAGCATTTACATTCTCCGTAACTTATGTTCAAGATTTAGATGAATCTAATGTTTTCTAGGATTTTTTAATAATATGATTTCAGACAATTACAATTTATAATAAGAGATAAAGTCATTTACAAATCAACCCTTAAGATTAGAAACCAGCCTCTTTACCTCAATCTTCATGCATTCAAAAGTCGCTTTTATCTCTATAGAAAAATGTGTAGAATTGTTTAATTCTGTTAGAAATACAAAAAAGACAAAAACCAAAAAAAATATAATATATATATATATGCATGAAGATTAAGGTAAAGAGGTTGGTTTCTAATCTTAAGGGTTGATTTGTAAATGACTTTACACTGTTAAAAATAAATCAAAAAACAGATTACAACTTTACACCGAGTGTAAAGTTGTAAGACCCTGGTGTGCAATATCGAGTGTGTTGAGACTCTTATAACCTTGTGTTTGTTATAAGAACTGCTTTTTCGTGTTGGTTGAAAGATGGTTTAAATAGAAATCAAACAAGTTCATCATACGTTAAAACTTATTTAATTATTTAATAATGGTGAAACAATTACATTATGCCAAAGAGTATACATAAGTTTGCTCTACAGCTACTCAAAATTGACTGACTTGACAATACTAACAGGTACTGTCAGGAAGCGATCCCTTACTTACCCCACTCTTAATAAGGACGAAAACCGAAAAGTGGGAGTTCGTCCAGGTAATGAATTTTCGTAATTTACAATTACCCGGAAAGGTTCGTTTACTCGTTTCAAGTTGTCTGAGTTTTACAGTTAACAGATGTTGACAGTAAAGTAATAAAATTAATCTGTCGGAGAATTTGGGGAGTTTGAAGATTTTCGGATATTGAAAATAAAACTCTAAAGTAATAAAAATAAATCCGTTGAAAGTTTAGCAAAGCACGTTTAAAAGATATCTTAATCTTTACAATAATAATCATAAAAACAGGGAATCTGATTAAGGGTCTCAACATACCGCCCCCCTTGAACTACTAAGTTCAAAATTTAGAAATATTTCGTTAACAATTGATTAAGTATACGCGTTATTAAATTTTAACTTTCAAGATATATAGATAAACAATAGATTTAAAAAACTAACAATCATGAGTAAACAAACATAATCGTACTCATAATGACCCTATTGAAAAAAAACACGTATAATTATACGTATAATAATACGTATAATTATACGTATAATTGTACGTATAATTATACGTATAATTGTACGTATTATTATACGTATAATTATACGTATAATAAGACATACGAATTTGAAACAAGAATTATACGTATAATTATACGTATAATTATACGTATAATAATACGTATAATAATACGTATAATAATACGTATAATTAATTATACGTATAATAATACGTATAATTAATTATACGTATAATAATACGTATAATAATACGTATAATTATACGTATTATTATACGTATAATTATAATTCTATTAAAAATAGAATAATAGAATAGAATAGATTAATTAGTAGCAAAATTGCGCTGAAAATTTTTAGAAATTTTAAAATGCAAATTAAATTTCACGAAAAAAAATATCGTCGAATGTCAATTCAAGCAGTCACCCATCCAAGTACTAACCGCGTCCAACGTTGCTTAACTTCCGTGATCTGATGAGAACTTGTTCCTTCGCCTTGGTGTTTCCGCTGTCTTGTCTTGATTAATAACTTTGCCGTATAAGTATCACTAAAAGTGAGGTTAGGTGCGATACAATACTTATACGACAAAGTTATTAATCAAGACAAGACAGCGAAAACACCAAGGCGAAGGAACAAGTTCTCATCAGATCACGGAAGTTAAGCAACGTTGGACGCGGTTAGTACTTGGATGGGTGACTGCTTGAATTGACATTCGACGATATTTTTTTTCGTGAAATTTAATTTGCATTTTAAAATTTCTAAAAATTTTCAGCGCAATTTTGCTACTAATTAATCTATTCTATTCTATTATTCTATTTTTAATAGAATTATAATTATACGTATAATAATACGTATAATTATACGTATTATTATACGTATTATTATACGTATAATTAATTATACGTATAATTCTTGTTTCAAATTCGTATGTCTTATTATACGTATAATTATACATATAATTATACGTATAATAATACGTATAATTATGCGTATAATTATGCGTATAATTATACGTATAATTATACGTATAATAATACGTATAATTATACGTATTATTATACGTACAATTATACGTGTTTTTTTTCAATAGGGGATACTCTCGATTAATTTTAAATCTTGTAAAGCACTTATCGCGTTACACATCGATTGGTAGGGGTGACAAATTTTTAATACTACGTTTGTATTCGCCGCTTGACGTCTTTACAGTTACGACGCGAATAATGCCATCGGCTCCCGGATGAGTATTTATTATACGACCAAGAGTCCACTTCATGGGAGGTAAGTTATCATCCCGAATTGTTACAAGTGTTCCGATTTTAATTTCATTCATAAAACCCTTGTGCCACCTTTTACGAACAGTCAACTCATTCAAATACTCTTTATTCCATCGATCCCAGAAGTGCTGTTTCATTTGCTGGACTTGTTGCCAAGAAGATAACCTATTGAACTGCAAGTCCAACAAATTATGCTCAGGCACATTTGTTAATGAGTCACCTATTAGGAAATGACCTGGAGTTAAGGCAATAAAATCGTTAGGATCTGAGGATACAGAGGTTATTGGACGTGAGTTTAGGATGGCTTCTATCTCTGTTGCAAAGGTTGTCAATTGTTCGTAAGTTAAGATCGTTTCTCCGATAACACGCGTGAAGTGATATTTAAATAATTTTACAGCGGCCTCCCATAGACCACCAAAATGTGGGGATCGAGGCGGAATAAAATGCCAATTTATTCTGCCTTGATTCACAAGTTCACGTGTGATTTCATTGATATTTTCGTTATCGTTTAAAAAATCGTAAATTTCATCGATTTCGCGTTTTGCACCTTTAAAATTTGTAGCATTATCAGAGTAAAGATCTGAACTTAATCCTCGTCTGGAAAAAAATCGTTTCAAAGATGCTAAAAAGGCTTCGGTGGTGAGATCACTTACAATTTCAATATGTACAGCTTTTGAGGAAAGACACACGAAAATAGCAACATAGACCTTTACCTTCACTCTATTTCGATGTTTCTTTTCTTTAATGAAAAAAGGACCACAAAAATCAAGGCCAGTATGTTTAAAGGCTCTTTCGAAGGTAACACGATTTTTCAGTAATTCACCCATTACGTAAACAGGGAATTTTGGTTTAGCTCGTCGACAAATAACGCATTTATTGATAATGCCTTTGACTTTGTTTTTAATGTCGATGATCCAAAAATTGTTTCTGAGAGCGTTAATCGTAGATTGCGTACCAGCATGCATGAGTTTCCAATGTTGTTCATGAATAATCTTTTCAGTAATATTATGGTTTCTCGGTAATAACATTGGATGTTTTTGATTATATGTGAGATTGGATTTGCTGAGTCTACCTCCCACTCTAAGGATTCCGTCAGAATCTAAAAAGGGATTTAATGTCGATAATTTCCCGTCAATTCGACCCTTTGTTTCTAAAGTTTTTATTTCATTGGAGAATGTTCCGCGTTGAATAATTTTTATTACGCAAATCATAGCCCTATCCAATTCGTTTGGGGAGAGAGCATTAGTTTGCAAACTTTAATAATGTTTATCGCGCAAATCATGGTTTTATTTAAATCATTTGGAACGAACATATTAGTCGATTCCAACTTGCGAACTTTAATATCTTTAAATCGTTGACAATAAGCTATAATTCGCAAAATTTCAATGAGAGAACCCTTTTCTTTAAAGAGAGTGTTTTCGAGATCATTGACACGCGTTTCTCTATTTCGTTCATTTGTTTTGTTATACGCTAAATTAACGAAAGTTTCTTGTGTTTTTAATAATTCATCGGTTTTAACGATTGAAAAGGGCCAATTGTCTTCTTTTTCATTAATCCATACAGGACCATTGAACCACAAACTGTTATTTAAAATTTCTTTAGGAGAAAGGCCTCGCGAAATTAGATCGGCAGGATTGTGTTCGGTACGAATGTGTCGCCATTCGCAATTGATTGTTAACTCTTGAATTTTATTTAAGCGATTGGATTCAAAGGTTTTTAAAGTGTGTGGTGAACTTCTTATCCAATGAATTGTGATAGTTGAATCCGACCAAAGAATTGTTTTTTCGATATTTAATCTACGCAACGCACGAACTGTCGGTTCGAGTAAATTCGCTAATAATAATGCAGAACAGAGTTCGAGACGAGGCAAAGATAATTTTTTCAAAGGTGAAACTCTTGACTTAGAGCATATCAATTGAGTGCAATTCTCTCCTAACTCATTTGTTGAGCGGAGATAAATACAGGCTCCATACGCCTTTTCGCTTGCGTCGCAGAAACCGTGTAGTTGTAATGCACGATAATCATTTGCAACTATTTTTCTGTCGATTTTGACGTTTTGAACAAGAGGTAATTCATCCCGATACGTACACCAAGCAGTGTGTATATGTTGCGGTACGGATTCATCCCAATCGATTTTTAATAGCCATAGTGTTTGTAATAGAATTTTTGCTATTAAAATGACTGGGCCTAAGAGACCGAGAGGATCAAACAATTGGACAGTTAACGAAAGTATTGTCCTCTTTATTATCGGTAAGTTGTGTTTTGACATCGATACTGAATAAGTGATTAGATCCGACTTTGGGTTCCAATAAACGCCTAACGTTTTTGTCGTGTCTCCTAAATTTAAACAATGGTGAGAATCGTTTTCGTTTTTTGTTAGTAAGGAGATAAGACTCGGTTCATTGGAGGCATATTGTCTTATGTGCATGCCGCCCCTTTCAGTTAAATCTATCAATTCGGTTACTAGATTTTTCGCTTTGTTAATATCTGACTCACCGGTTAAAACGTCATCCATATAAAAATCTTCTTTTAGAACGACTGATGCATTTGGGTATAACGCACCTTCATCGTCTGCTAATTGAACGAGAGATTGTGTAGCTAAAAAAGATGCAGATGAAGTCCCATATGTAACAGTATTTAGATCGAAGATCTTTATAGGCTAAGTATTGTCATCACGCCATAGAATTTTTTGATATTTTCGATCTTTAGGATGAATGATTATTTGTCGATACATTTTTTCAATGTCTGCAGTTATCGCGTATTTATGTGATCTGAAACGAACTAACAATGAAAAAAGATCTTCCTGAACATTCGGTCCCACCATTAATACGTCATTTAGAGATTTTCCTGTAGAAGTTTTCGCCGAAGCGTCAAAAACTACGCGTAGCTTTGTCGTTAAACTCGATTCTTTAATGATAGAATGGTGAGGTATAAAATAACCATCTAAATGTGAACCTGTTGTATTTTCAGACATGTGACCGAGAAGTTCGTATTGTTTCAAAAAAACAGAATATTGTTCTTTATACTCCGGAACTCTCAATAAAGATTTTTCTAAGGAATAGAAACGTTTAAGCACGTGATTGTACGATTCACCGAGTTTATTTACGTCTTGGTTAAAAGGCTGACAAACGATATATTTTCCGGTTTCGCGAGTTGTATTTCCCTTATAATGCTCTAGACATTTTATTTCTTCATTTGAATAGATTTTTTTGGGTGGAACATTTTCGATTTCCCAAAATCGCGAAACTTTGTTGTGCAATGAGTCAAACGTTAAATTGCAAGTAACCGCTTTAGAAGATTTCCTTCCCAGAATTTTCCCTCCCAGAATCCAACCAAGATGCGTTTTCTGTAAAGTTATCATCGGCTAGAGACATTTGTCCGACGCAAAGGAGTTTCAAAAAGATTTCAGCACCAAGTAAAATATCAATTTTACCGGGAATGTGAAATTGTGGATCTGCTAGATGGATGTTGGGTGGAATTTTTAATTCGATTCGCTTGATAGACTCGCTCGGAGCGCATTCGTTGATTTCTGGTGTAATTAAGAACGTTAATTTTGTACGATAATTGTTTAATCGCGATTCAATGACTGAATGAGTTATTTTCGTTATAGTTGAATTCATTTGATTCACTCCACCTAGAGGAATTTCTTGATCGAATTGTTTGAGCCCTAATTTTTTCGCTAAATTTTCTGTTATAAAATGGACTTGTGAACCATTGTCGAGAAGTGCGCGACAAACGTGAGGATTTCCCTCTTGATCAAGAATGTGTACAATCGCTGTAGATAACAAAAGTTGAGAGGAAGCTACATTGTGCAAGGTTGCAAAATTAACTTGAGCTGTTTTTTCATCACTGTTTTTGTGTAAAAGTGTATGATGTTTTTTATTGCATGTTTTACATAATATAGCCTTGCATTCCTCTACTGTGTGATTGGATCGGAGACAATTAATGCACAGTTTTAAATTTTTTATCATATCAACTCGTTCCGATAATTGCACGTTTGTGAATTTCTCACAGGTTTGAGTAAAATGCGCGCCTTTACATATATGACAAAATGCTTTGTGTGTAGCGTACGATAATTTACCACGATTCGTATTAAAATGTGATTTCGAATTGTTACCGCCGCGATTTTGGTTATCATTACGTTGTGTAACTTTTTCTTGCTTATCGTTTTTCATGACCTTATTTGTTTCTAATACTGTTTCGCGACAATGTAAAAATTCGAGTAATTCTTCCATTGTCGGTGAATTATTAGATTGGACATGCTCTTTCCATTCTAATCGAGTTTGTGGGTCTAATTTCGCTACTACCGCATAAACAGGAAAGGATTCAAGAAAAGGTTTGTTTAAAGCTTCTAGCGCTCGATAATCTTTCGTTACGGTATTCAAAAGATCGCTAATGGCAGTTGCGGATGCATTCGCGCAGTTCGTTAATTCGAAAAATGCCTTTATGTGATTGTTGATAACTAAAGAGGGGTCATCGTAATATTTTTCTAGTAACTTCCAAGCTACTTGGTAATTAGCGTCGGTTGTTTCGAGTGATTCGATTTTATCAGCTGCTTTACCAGTTAGACATGATCGTAAATACATCAGTTTTTGAGCATCTGAATATCGCTTATCATTATGGACGGAAGATTTGAAAACGTCACTGAAACCCGACCACCCTTCGTAAGAACCACTGAATGTCGGTAAATTCATAGGTGTTAATTTGAGATTGATTGTGTTTCCGTTCATTAATTGTGTAATAGTTGACACGGGAGGTCGATTATTTAAATCATAACGCGGACAATCAATCTTCAAAATCGCCTCTAACTTCATACTCAGTCTCGATATTTTCATCTGAAACTAATGATTCTATTTCTGTTTGTCTTTCCTCAAAATTTGATTTAACTGAATCTAATTCGCTTAGTTTACGCTTTATCTCAAGGATATCGATTGAATCAATAGGTTTGTGAAGTAGTGATTCCGCGCGCGTTAATTTCGTTTTTAAAGCACCGATAAGCCTTTTCAGCGTCTTTATACGCTCGTTATTCGTCATTTTGATTGAATTAAGATATCATAGATAAGAAGTGTATATGGATGGATAAATAAGAATATGGATATGTGACTCAAAATACAAATGTGCAAGACTCACCCTTCTGGAATTGTTCGTGAGAAACATTCATTTCTGATGATGATACAATTGGGTACAAAGAACTACACAAACAAACTTCACAATTCTGAAAGCCTTATCAGTCCACTACTTTTGTTCATATGACAACACTTCACGTTAATGGTATTTCGTTTGACACTTCGTTGAGATGATGAGGATGTATTTGGATTCTCGCACCAGTTCCCGTTCTCGTTCAGATTCCCGTTCACACTCTCGTTCACGTTCAGATTCTCGTTCTCGTTAATAATTGCAAGACGTATCGTTTATCTTGCTTATTGTTTTGGTAATTGTTTCACACTCGTTTTGATGGAAAGATTTTGCACGTTAAATCTTCACACATAAGATTTTCGACGATATGCGAAGAATCAACTTGATTGAATCTTCTGCTTAGCTTCCTTCGTTCACGTTATTGTTAAGAAAAGTGGATTGGTTCATCACTTTGCTTCAGTTGGAGGATACTGCTCACACATGGCGACTGCATCCGGCTCGAAGGACCAAAAAGTGTTGAGACTCTTATAACCTTGTGTTTGTTATAAGAACTGCTTTTTCGTGTTGGTTGAAAGATGGTTTAAATAGAAATCAAACAAGTTCATCATACGTTAAAACTTATTTAATTATTTAATAATGGTGAAACAATTACATTATGCCAAAGAGTATACATAAGTTTGCTCTACAGCTACTCAAAATTGACTGACTTGACAATACTAACAGATACTGTCAGGAAGCGATCCCTTACTTACCCCACTCTTAATAAGGACGAACACCGAAAAGTGGGAGTTCGTCCAGGTAAAGAATTTTCGTAATTTACAATTACCCGGAAAGGTTCGTTTACTCGTTTCAAGTTGTCTGAGTTTTACAGTTAACAGATGTTGACAGTAAAGTAATAAAATTAATCTGTCGGAGAATTTGGGGAGTTTGAACATTTTCGGATATTGAAAATAAAACTCTAAAGTAATAAAAATAAATCCGTTGAAAGTTTAGCAAAGCACGTTTAAAAGATATCTTAATCTTTACAATAATAATCATAAAAAAAGGGAATCTGGTTAAGGGTCTCAACAGAGTGTGAAAATGAAGAAAGTAAACCTTTAGCACTAGAACGGTGTAATAATTCGGTAACTAACCTATCTCTACGTATATAGAGTACGAAAGGACTTTTAATCGCACCAACAAGTGTTATTGTTTTTTTACCTGATCGTACGCATGCGTAGTAGTAAGAAGGTAGAGAAAAAAACACGGTATGAATCAAATCACAAATCCCCTAAACAGTTGGAATATCGAGAATGTTTATGAGGTGAAAGAATTACATTTCCAAATTGATTTTAAAATTGGATCATTCGTTGCCAAAAAAGAGGTTACTTCAGAATTTCCAACATTCTTAAAAATTATTGCGTTATTTATTGCATCGGACAAGGGTTATGCAATTTGTGAGCAGTGGATAACTTTAGAATTTAATGAAATATACGTAGGTTACAAAGTTACATATGATACGTCAAATATGAAAAAATTATTTGATTTAAATGAATTAACACACGTTGTAGCATATGATTTACATCAAACGTATCACACAACTGACTACTATATTATTCCAAAATATAGAATTTTATAAGAATTATAATAGGTTTAAGAATTTTGTTTTCCATCAACAATGTAATAATGCTGAATTTTATAGAATTTATGCTCATTTTCTTGATAAAGAACAGTAAAATACTGCTATATATATTTTATGAAATATATATTCATTTTGTTCAATAAAATGTAATGTTCATTTGTATTTCTCAAGTTGCTCTCAAATAAAAAAAATTCGACCGAATCTAAAAATGTCTCATTTCTTGAAACACGTCATAGCCGCTCTCTAAATTTCAATTAGTTAAAAATAACTAATTTTATATCAAAAAATGGGTCCCTGATTGATATAGTATAAAACTTCGTCTAATTTTTTAGTTAAGAATAACTAATTATTATTTTAATTTACTTTTAGGCTATGTCAAATAACTAAAATTTTAGTGAAACTTGTTAAGAGCATTTGAACCTTCGTGACGTCACAAATCATGGCGCATGACACGCAAACTTCTCAGGTATGTGAAAAGCACAATTTTGAATATTTTTTAAAAAAACTTTTTGGAAAATGTTCAGAATAACATAGACTCTGTCTGTTATGTGCGGAAAATTCAAAATTTTGCGTTTAAAACGTTTTTTAAACAATGTTAAGGTCACAAATCATGGCGCATGACACGCAAACTTCTCAGGTATGTGAAAAACACAATTTTGAATATTTTTTAAAAAAACCTTTTGGAAAATGTTCAGAGAAACATAGACTATGTCTGTTATGTGCGAAAAATTCAAAATTTTGCGTATAAAACGTTTTTTAAACAATGTTTAAGTTGGTTGTCACAAGTAAGGAAAAATACACGAATTGCTTATATGTAGGCATTGTTTAAAAACGTTTTAAACGCAAAATTTTGAATTTTCCGCACATAACAGACAGAGTCTATGTTATTCGGAACATTTTCCAAAAGGTTTTTTTAAAAAATATTCAAAATTGTGCTTTTAACATACCTGAGAAGTTTGCGTGTCATGCGCCATGATTTGTGACGTCACGAAGGTTCAAATGCTCTTAACTAATTCAATTAGTAAAAGTCAACTTTTTTCTGTTATTTTTAACTAATATTATATTATTTTTTTTACTAATATTTATTTATTTTTTACTAATTGTTGAAGAAAAAGTGAATCGTTTGAACTCTTATTTCATTTCTCGTTGAACCAAATGTAAGCTTTCAACCAAATAGTGTTAAAAGAATAAAAATTTGAAGAATCGCACTACAAACATCACACCTGTATTCCAATCACACTTCACATAATAATATCATCTTTTCAAGTGCGACTTTAAAAAAAATTACACTTTTATAGTTGTAAAGTACACTACCGTCGGAAATTGTCGGTACGATTGACGTGCGCGGGATGAAATGTTGATGTCGCACCTAAATTAAGATATTTTAAGTTTGAGAAAAGCTAGAGAATTGAAACTTAGATCACCTGAAAGCTGATAAAATTCTGCTTCTGAATATATACCTAGAATTTTTTCGACTTTCTGGAGCGATTATAACACTGGAAAGATTTCGAAAAAAAAACGTCTAATTTTCCCAATTTCGTACCCAGTTTTTGATTCCCTGCATAATCTAGGAAAATGCAAGGAAAAATTTGTAACTCCTACAACATAATCTTTAAGATCTTAGCTTTAAAAGTAATTTTTAAGACTTAAAAAATATTGTTTCGTTTTTGAGATAAGTTGAAAAATGTCAGAGCATGTTTTTTACACAACTCAGCGTCAAAGATTAGTTCTTGCATCCCCGCTGCTTCGCCCGTTCCTTGCGCCAGGGCCGAAAATGCGTGCGGGCCCCTGCTTGAAACCCGTCTTGTATTTTCTCACATTTACAGTTATTGATTATTAGAATATTAATTAATTTATTTATAAATGTTATTATTATTAGTTAATTAAAAGTTTAACAAATACTTTTTAATATTGTACTTAAAATTTACCAACTTGGAAAAATGTTCTTCTTTTTCAGAACTTTAAAATTTTTTGTTTAAAATTTGTAATTAATTCTGAATGTTTGCAAGATATTTTTTTGGTTTTAACTAATTAATAAAGAACATTGTTACATTCTTGCAGTTGTTTCATTCTCTTCTCAATAAGACAGAAAAATTAATAATAATTCAATATGTCATACAAATGCAAAAGATTAACCATACACTGTTCATATTATTGTTTCCATAATTTTTACTAAAATAATTAGTACTACAAATTAAATATTTCAAAATTAATTACAAATTTTAAACAAAAAATTTTAAAGTTCTGAAAAAGAAGAACATTTTTCCAAGTTGGTAAATTTTAAGTACAATATTAAAAAGTATTTGTTAAACTTTTAATTAACTAATAATAATAACATTTTTTAAATAAATTAATTAATATTCTAATAATCAATAACTGTAAATGTGAGAAAATACAAGACGGGTTTCAAGCAGGGGCCCGCATGCATATTCGGCCCTGGCGCAAGGAACGGGCGAAGCAGCAGGGATGCAAGAACTAATCTTTGACGCTGAGTTGTGTAAAAAACATGCTCTGACATTTTTCAACTTATCTCAAAAACGAAACAATATTTTTTAAGTCTTAAAAATTACTTTTAAAGCTAAGATCTTAAAGATTATGTTGTAGGAGTTACAAATTTTTCCTTGCATTTTCCTAGATTATGCAGGGAATCAAAAACTGGGTACGAAATTGGGAAAATTAGACGTTTTTTTTTCGAAATCTTTCCAGTGTTATAATCGCTCCAGAAAGTCGAAAAAAATTCTAGGTATATATTCAGAAGCAGAATTTTATCAGCTTTCAGGTGATCTAAGTTTCAATTCTCTAGCTTTTCTCAAACTTAAAATATCTTAATTTAGGTGCGACATCAACATTTCATCCCGCGCACGTCAATCGTACCGACAATTTCCGACGGTAGTGTATATGTTCAGAATGCAAAAAACTATAAAATCCTAAAGTTACACAAAAATCGACTGAGAGCCAAAACTAATGTAAATC